ATTGTGTTTACTCTTTATTAATCTAAAAAATGGAAACAATTTTGACGACAACAATTTTTCTATTGTAACTAATAACGTGATGATTATAATTCAAAGCGTAAGAATTTATTCTCCCATTAACAATTAATAGAGATCGATCTAAGCATTTTTAAACTAAATTATCAACATACTTGATCCTTATTATGGATGTTATTCATCTCTATTGATGGGAGGCACATTCTTTTAATAGAAAAATATTTTGTTTATTTAGCACAGGAAGTGGACTGTGGTAATATTATGTAGGTCCTATTGTTAATTTTCCATTCATGTGCAGTAACATGACGTTTCATCCGCTATGCCAGAGCTTGTTTATGAAGACTTTCTGGCAAGAGGTCGAGTTTTGACTTTGAAATTACTTAAAAACTTCATTTAAGAAATTTTATGGTCGTTATACTATAGCGAACTCCTTGACAAGCAGACCATGCTTACTCTTTTCGAAACACCTGACAGTACTTCTCTTTGGAGGAGTCCACTACACAACGTTTAAAAAAACTGAGATAACCAATTTGGTAATTAATCAGTTTGACCCAGTGTCGGTGATTGGCTTTATAACGGGCTTGATATTATTAGTTGGAATCTTTAGAAAACGTAGGAGAAACACTTCTCTACAATTAGGCGTTTAGTTTAAGTTTAGTAACCTTTTACGAAATTTTTTGGCATTATAAAATTATCGGTTGGATTATTTTAGTTAAAATTTTCAGTTACGTTATGGAATACATTTCTATAGATTTTAGTTTATAGTTTTCACAAATTTGAGCAAAATATTTGTTCGACCTGCAAAAAAAAGCGGAATGTCCCTTTAACGGAATCACTTTGTAAAATTCGCACAACTTTTGTTATTTTCAAAATTCAGTAATTTGTAAATAACCTATTGATCACATGGAATACAACACAATTTTGCACACTGGGGTACAATGAAACATGGAAATAGTATACAACAGAATTACTTTCAGATAACGATGGCGCATTGTAAACTTTTAAGACATAGTTTAAAATAAATTCCAAAGTAATCTTCAATAAGATTTCTCAATGATTATCATCTTATCAGAATTCATCGTATAATTCAAATCTAATAGACCTGCTACGATTTGGGATCTTACAGCTACTGAAAATGTACCGAGTTTTGGTCAAACGTGATACAAACCAGAGAAAAAGTGTCTAAAAAAAAGTCTCTCAAACTTAAAACATCTACTTCAAATCGCGAGTCTTACGACCATATTGTGTTTTAAAGTTTTTGCAGCGTCTTTGCTTCGCGTGTAATGCGCTTTCAACGCGTTCCGAATAAACGTCGTGACTCTGTGAATAGTGGCGACAATTGCACAATTTCTGGCGTGTCCTACACTCTAAAAAACCACGTTCATGGCGACCTTAACACGATTTGAGCCAATTTTCCGTCACAGTAACAGAGTCTTACGACCATATTGTGTTTTAAAGTTTTTGCAGCGTCTTTGCTTCGCGTGTAATGCGCTTTCAACGCGTTCCGAATAAACGTCGTGACTCTATGAATAGTGGCGACAATTGCACAATTTCTGGCGTGTCCTACACTCTAAAAAACCACGTTCATGGCGACCTTAACACGATTTGAGCCAATTTTCCGTCACAGTAACAGAGTCTTACGACCATATTGTGTTTTAAAGTTTTTGCAGCGTCTTTGCTTCGCGTGTAATGCGCTTTCAACGCGTTCCGAATAAACGTCGTGACTCTGTGAATAGTGGCGACAATTGCACAATTTCTGGCGTGTCCTACACTCTAAAAAACCACGTTCATGGCGACCTTAACACGATTTGAGCCAATTTTCCGTCACAGTAACAGAGCAGTAAGAACGACCTTTCTTATTTGACGGGGCCATTATCAAATCAAAGATCTATGAATCTATCGGCATTATCATGTCATAATTCACTTAACCACTTCCGTCATGTATCATTTTAGTCTGCTAAAAATGATGACTGTTAACCTTTTCAGAAACATCATTATGCGTATTTTATTTTAACAAATTGCTTTAGTTTTTTAGTAGTGCAATTGTTGTGTAGTAAAAATACAATTTAGAGTAACCATAATTGAAAAATGTTAATATAATATATTATAGTTTAAGACGTCAATTTGAGATATACACATCAGTCCATATTGTAAACCTAACTATCTACATCGTTCTATATATGATTATCTTTCTAACTATAATTTGATGCATATTAAATCTTGAAACAGCAAAAACAACAACAATAGAATGTAGACAATACTTATATAAATATAACAAAAATAGTCAACTGATGACGATGGTTATATTTACAAACTACATTGTATAATAATAATAATAATAATAATAATGGAATTAACCAGTTGTACTTTCCGTGAATTTTAATTTTATTTTGGTTCATTTTTTCTTCCAAAACATTCGATACAGCTTAGTACATTACATTATCTGACATCTTAAGCGTATATTTGATCATATAGCTATTGATCAAATATTGACATAACAAATATAAGAATTGAAGAAACCTTTACACTCGTTCAGACGACCCTTCATTGTACAACATTTTCTATATTTTTAATGAGACGATGAAAACATTGAATAATAGCATTTAAATTGAAGCATTTAAGAGACGTCTAGGGTCCACGATTCCAATACTGTTTACAGTTTACTTTCAAGATACAACACATTAACCTTTTTAAGAGGTTCCATAAAAACTATAAGAAATACCAATATAACAGTAAAATACTTTTAAGACAGAACATGAATAACAAATACGTGTGGAAACTGTCTGTATCTAAAAATAAGGGTGTATCCATATTAAACAATACAAAATAAAGTTACTTTACTCACAACGCTTAAATGTTTGCTTACTGGTTGGTTTTAGCACCGTGCATACACATTAATTGAGTCTACAATATTTGGCGGAAGTGGCGTTGGTACGTCATCGTTTCTTGTGGTAACATCACAGGGATTCCAATAGTGGTGCATAAACCAAACAGAAGCGTTTATTCACAACCAGAGAAACCGAGATCTGCAATTTCTTGCTTTTTCTCATTATATCTCGTATTTTCACAACCATGTATGAGGAGGGAGATAAATAAATGTGCATAATATAAATATGTGATAAACTATGTTATACAATAACCATTATAAAATACATAGTTCAATGCTACCGCTATTTACAATATATTTCAATGTAATGTTATATTTAACCCATTTAATATGTATTCCATGCAAAATACTCTACTACAATGGAAGTAAAATGTTACTACTTTTCCCGATCTATTATGTTAGGTTATACCAATTCAAATCAAAGAAAATCACACGGTGAGTACAAACATTGTTTCTAGTCTAATGTAGGGTATATTGTTCTGATTTTGGAATATAATAAAAAATGATTAAACAAACTGTACGAATACAAGTAAATAACAATGCTACGATCTTTCGGTTATTACAAAATCTATCTACAAAACATTTTTGAAAGAAATTGAATATTAACATCAAAGTATGAATTAGTAAACAAACTGTATCCATGTACTGAAAATCCTATAGCCTATCTATACGATTATAATTTAAGGATATAATATTCTTAATAACTGATTATCAAATTGATTGAGCTTTAAGTAAGAATTCGCATCTATTTCATCAGACAATAAAGCAGAATATCAGATGACAACGTCCTTTTAATGGGGTCTAAACTCCTTCGTAATCTGTAGTCTACATGCTTACATTAGTAAAAATTAGTTATTAAGTACGAGACAAGTAATCCTAAAATTGTGTCTAAGATAATGTGTAATACTAAATGATGGATTGTACTCTATTTACAAAAAATTACTTTAAACATGGCGATTTAAAACATGATAAAACACCAAAACAAGAATGAAACAGAACATGGTCCATGAAATTATTTCTAGCAAGATTTTGGTCATTTCAGACACGACGTACTAGATGAGATGATGTCTATGATATGGTGACCATTTTTGGATTGCATGAGGACGTTACAATTATATTTCGGGGTTGTAAGATACATGCATAATGTTAAATAAAAGTGTCCGACTGTGGCGATAGCCTATCCATCATGATGACTCAATCAATAAATCTTGCTCGGAAATGTTCGGATGTGACAATATCTATGATAACTACGAATCTGAATAAGATGATGTGATGTCTCCTATGATGACATTTTGTAATTTATTATACCGGATAGGATTATGTCCGTTTTATCAATAGTGAATTGTTAATTTATATACCGGATAAAAATCATATAGTAAATTTCAAGTCGAAAGTAATTCAATGCAGCGAATTGGACGATGGCATAGACCAAAAAATATCTAAATGTAATTTATCGCATGTGGCGATGTCTATATACAAGAACAAATCGAATAATCCAGGAAAAATGAATGCGAGGTATGATCTATTTGCTTCTGGTATTTACTGTATCTTTTAGAAGTATACTTTTCCATTTACACCTTTTTGAATACCTTTTTACATGGATTACATTTCTTGAAATTCACAAAGAAGTTTAACGATTAACTAAGCTACAAAACAAAAGTAAATTAACATCATTGTTATTCTATTCAATATATTCATTCTCTTTCTATTGTTTTCAATATATTGATCGCACAACGCCTTGAACTGTTACCTACATATTAAAAACTAAGCCAATCCCTGACAATAAATGATGTTTTTCCTTACATACTTAAAAATTAAATAAACTTCGTCAAATACAAATATGCTTAACTACTTATAACTAACTACAAGACAGCTTATTTTCATTTCAGTTTAATTTGACAGATTTTGATTGAATCGAATTTCATACTCAACTGAACAAATGGCAGTTGGGATTATTGCATATTAACTCCGAGCATGCGCATGACGATAAATTCGTGATTGGTTAAACTGCAGTAATGGCGTTGCCTTCGTGACCATTTGGTACTTTTGCTGGTTCGTGTTGGAGTGAAGTATCAAACATTTCATGTTCAAGTGGAGGTAACTCGTGCTTTGACAGATGATAAACAAGACCTGCACCGAGACTGTCTCCCATAACGTTCGTCATCGTCCGGAAACGATCCCTGTAAATATTGATTATATTGATTCTAAGCTAAACATTGGTAAAGAAAATGCATCGTTATATGTAAGATAATACACTTTGTAAGGCCATAGGGTATATTTCTTTTAATAACAGGTGAAAAAGGCCAAGATAAAAGTTAGTGCAAATTTGAATACAATGGTTCTGGCCATTACTAAGCATTGACATAGTTTCGTCAAACGCTCTTCTTCATATCACATAATGATTAGCCATTTTTTTTACCGGAACTGTGTCAATATTGTCACGTGATAACGTGATTCTGGTAATTTATATATTAGAGGCTTTTCGTTCAGGACTACAGGTCATTGAACAAAACGTCCATAAAATATGTATTCAAACTGGTAATGAAATGTGTCATTGGATAACCATATTCAGTATATACATTAAATGCATTATGTAAGTGTCAGAATTATCTCCCGAAGTATTTAAATTTAAGGACTATATTAAGGTCGCAATATTACTATTACTAGACAAATCAGTGCTAAATACCGGAAGTAAAGGGTCTCGCCCAGGAAGACACAACGGAATTCACCATTCATTACCGATGGATCAGATTCAGCTTACGGAAACTGCGGAGAATTGCCGAAAGATAGTTTTATGTGTGATTTGGTTCATTTCCATTTAAACCTTTGGGTTGTTGGTAAGTCATATGTGAACCAACGACAGAATACACTGAACAAAAAATGGTGAATATTAAGGTATTTTGTTCAAAAACATTAATTCAGTGTCATATTCGATTCGTATATGGAAACCAATGCTGGCTTACTGTCGTTGTGTCACAATCTGACTGCAAGTTAGACGCGATAGTTAGCACTGTGTACGGAAAGACTTAATTGTAATCACAAGTTACAAAACTCAATATCAGTTAACCTAAATTCTACAATTAATTCGTTGCGTTTGCTTACTAATAAATTGACATATTAGTTCAAATCATATTAAAGTAATACTTACAAGAACCAATCAACGACCAGAATCAAAGTGATGTCATTAACAGGTAAACCCACAGCAGACAAAACAATTACCATGGTAACCAATCCCGCCTGAGGTACACCAGCCGCACCTATTGATGCTGCCGTAGCCGTGATACTGAAAGTAAACGAAATATACATAGCAATATTCAAAATCAAACTATTACATCAGATCTGCACATTATTATATTACTTATTACGAAGTGTAATCTTTATACATCTACTATCTGTGTAAAATGTAAAAGACAATTCATCTTTAATTCATGTCATGTCATCAAATATTTGATTGGTTAATTTTGATGAATGTGTTCCATTGAATATTCCGTCAGACCATGGAAAGTCCGCAGCAGAAAGGGAAAGACGATGACAACCATCTTGAACTTTATGTTAATGAGATAATATTGTACGAGCTTTATTTCTTAAATTCACACTGTATGTTTCACGAAGAAATACACGTATAGCCCATCTTTTATTAACATACACCCCCTAAAGGAAGTACCTAATTAAACTTATTTCCAAAGTCACTCCTAATTATGTATGTGTAACATACTACTTGTGACGACAACCTTGATAACTTTTGGTATTCAGTCTTTGAAATAATGTGGTTTGCACATCAAAATATTGCAAGGTATTGATATGCTGATGATGAAACATTAGATTTATTCTAGATATGCCTACTCGACACCAATGTTGCAGATTTTACACAAAGAAAGTTATTCTCAAGCTATGAGAAGAAGTTTCTGGAACATGCGTTTGTACTTCCATTATTTAACTGCCATTGAAGGCCATTACATGAGATAAAGGTCATAAAGAGTGTGAGTGAGGCTATAATGTTGAAACCATAATGATGAATAGTTGGCTATAAAAAGAAAAAGATTTCCGTGGTTCAAATCGGAAGATTATAGGTGATGGATGGGACTATCATTAAAGGAGTACTGACATCAATCGGATTAACTGTTCTCGATTGATCGTAATCGGCTACTGACATGCTAAGAGACAATTATTATTCTCATGGTAGACGACTATATGTAAAATTACAAGAACCAGGACATAGTTAGAAAATGAAAAATGAAAGGAGTGTTTCCAATTCTTCACCATGATCATAAAGTAAACAGTATATTCTGAATGCCATGGACAAGAACTGAAAATGCCTAAGCTTAATCAGAGATATTTCCATTCTTAACTAAGCAAACCACATTTTCAACCGTACAGTAAATGAATACTGATATATGACAATTCAGCCTTTTGACAATCTGCACTTTGACTACCCTACCGAAAGAGGCATAATAAATTTAGCATAAAATCTATCGATCAAAGTTATCTTTCCTTAGTAACTCTTCTTATCAGGGATTAAGGATGTGTTAAAATCGACATTAACGAATTCGACGACAGCGAAAAGAGTAGTGGAGTTAACTTAATGGAAATGGTATTGACCAACGAGCATGTCTGTCTTGTTCGAAATTATTACATTGCCACTTATCTATATAGGGATTTCAGAAATTTCTTAATTATCAATTAGTTAATGAATGAGTTTTGTATGAGAGAACATTTAGCACTGACAGCAGTGTTTAATTCCATGGTGTCCAATCAGCAAGTTATAGCTTTTGGCACATTATTATCCCACCGATTTGGTGTTGTTTCATGCAAAATATAGCTTCAACGTGTCAATTTTGCCACCATATTTCCGTAAAACAGAATAAAGTAGATAAATAAATATAGAGAATAATTTATGTTTTTGAAAATGAAAATTTTGCATACTGCTCCTATAAAGATGAGTTTCCTTATTTTATTGTGTCAAATTAAAGATGTGTTCTCATATTTCTGCTAATAAAAACACCAATTAATCAAATAGTTTGCTTAATTTGACACTAAAAAATAAGGAAACCCATCTTTAAGCAAACTATTTTACTAATGAATTATCATGTATTCTTAATCATATCAGATTATTATTGCATATAAATAAGAGTTTTAACCAATCATAAATTTCCATGACATGTACAGTCTGGATAAACAAAAAAGACTTTTTGATCTTGATCGGTAACTTATTGGAATTTGGCTGGTAATTCTCTTCTAATTATGAATTAATTATGGACATGTGAGTCAAATTGGTATTTTTCCAAGTCATTAGAACACCTCTACTTTCTATTCATATAAGTATTGGTTTTTTCATTTAAAAAAACCCATCTTTAAACTTAAACTGAATGTACATGTATTAAATCTAATCGCCAAAGATCAGCTGTAGGCAAATTCCGAAGTCTGCAGAACGTACAGAATCGATCTATTCACACAGTAGATCTGATCATATCATATTACACTTCATAGCTATAGAGAATTGTGCTTATTCATGGTCATTAAATCTACGCTTGTCGATATCGACAACCAGCAACACGAAAGTGACAATGACAACGTTATGCCATAAATGCAAATGCAACTGTACTAAGAAGCTATCGATGCTACGCGATCATCTTTAAACAAACATTTTCATATTTGCTAATCATTTGACGGAATCTGGACCTAGCAAGCAATTGCACAAGTCGTGACGGCATGTATTTTAGCAGAGTGTCTAAGTAGAAGCTTAAAACCACTTTCATGAAACAACCCAGGTTAAAAATAACTGCTTGTATCAATTTGACCCCAAAGAATTTTCATATAGTTACAAAAACTCCACCAGTAAACCAACGCAGTCTGGATTTTTAGCGTTATAACTGCTTGAAATATCAGTTATCTCATTGCGATTAGGTATAAATATACAATTTAAATAATTTGGCTACAGTTGGCAATTGTTTTTATCTGTTGCAATTCCAAGGCTTTCAGAATATCAATCAAAGCAGAAATCATACAAAAACGTATTGTTTTTACTGTGGACTAAACAAGCAATAAAAAGTGTATCTGATTGCTTTTCCAATATAGGAAAATGTTGATCAAAAGTTTCCTCATGTAAATTTCTAGAAAATAGCCCTTTAACTCGACGTTATCCATCAATAATAGGTATAAATAGACACCCGTTTACGGTTTTGTGAAAAGAGTTCCATGTTTAAAATCAGTTTGACAGAATGTTTTAACATCATTTACTTCCGTTCCTCCAACAGATAATACTTGCCTCTCATTTGACTTGATCGTTAGAATGGAATTAGAATTCACAGCACGCAGCTAGTTTAGCAGTAATCATTGAATTATATTGTCTTTCAACATGCACAAAGATTCTCTTAATAACAACTCAAAGCCTTTTAATGATTGGGTAAAAAATCCGCGAGAGAATGATGTGAATGTGACTAGAATCCCTGAAGAGGCATCAAAGTTTTAACAAACTTCTCAACTCAAGTCGTGTTGCGTGACTTTCACTTCCATTTTATCATCGAGTGAATAGTTGAGGTAACAAATTAAAATTTGAAATCATTTAGAAATATTGAGTTCAGGTTTTGACATTAATATAACATATGCCATGGGGTTATTGCTCTATATAGGTTAGAAATTACCAGTGACGTGTTTCTACTTATAGTAACAGTGGCAAATATTGAGGTTATGTTTACCATTGGTTTAGTATATGCAAGCGATTATTGCACTGCTTACTAAAAGATAAAGAAATTGAGTCGGATAATATACAATGATTTTCGATTTTTCCGTAACTTTGATATGCAATGAAGTTTTATCATCACTTTGTATGAATAGTAGGCTAGGTCTAATTGTACTTGTAACAACTTACTGATATTAAGATCATTGGATGAATTTATAATAAATTAAAAAGGCACAACAGTGTGATGGTGTATCCATCGTACCTGACTGTTATTTTACTCCGAGAGAAGAACCAGATATCAGATTGATTACAATATTACTAGCACTGACACAATTTCCTCTTATTTTAATCAACCATCAAATTAATTATATATACAGTTATCTCCCCTGTTGCTAAGTAACCTAATTCCGAGGCTAGGTCAAATATTTATGAGTAACCGTTGTTTTTATATTGTTGTTTTTATGGTTATATAGGAAGAGTACGAACTTGTTTACATCACGCCATCTAGATAATCGTTGTTAATACATAAAATTGAATAACAGGTAGGAAGAAGAGAAATTTGACATGCAACATCTTTTGTACTGAGATATAATCTGTCGAATGTTTCTTTGAATATTGTGCTGTAAATATTATCTTAAAGTTATTATATCTACTAGCCCAAAAGCTCTCGTTCTACCCAGTCCCTCAGACGTGATATACGGATGTGATAATGTGTCATCAATTGACAGCAATAATTGTCGTTTCATTTGGGAGTTGATCCCGACCCGTTTTTGTGTCATTTTTTTGCATTCATTTCCTTAAATATGCATCACTGATCCAAAGAGTTCGCTGGAATGCAGGAAAAAACTTGCACTAAGAAAATTGGACGTGCACTAAGAAAATTGGACGTGCACCTAAAAGTGAAGAAACAAAACATTAGAAATGTGATGCCTGGTTTCGGAGCAAGGATGCCGACTTCTGATTCGCACATTAGGAGAACTATTTTTATTCAAAACAAAAGAAAGTAGGCCATAACCTTACCTTATTGTTACTATTTGACCAAAGTCCATGTCCATATTGTTAACCTGGGCTATAAATAGGGCAGCTACAGCCTCGTATAAAGCAGTCCCGTCCATATTAATTGTTGCTCCAACTGGAATAACAAAACTGCTGACTCGCGGATCTACGTGATTATTGTGTTCCAAACAGTGGAGAGTAACTGGCATTGTGGCAGAACTGAAAATAAAATCGAGGAAATAATCAAATGAGACAATCAATGCAATTTTCAACAGAAAAACTAAAAAAGCATTCCATGAATTTTTTAAAATAAACATTGAAATAAAATTATCACTGAAATATTGACGCGATATAATCAATGAAATATTCCACCGAAATAATCACTAAAATATTCAACCGAAATAATCATTGAAATACTGAACTGAATTGGAAAATATTCAGCTATTGTAATCAATGAAATATTCAGCTATAGTAATCAATGGAATATTCAACTATAGTAATCAATGGAATATTCAACTATAGTAATCAATGGAATATTCAACTATAGTAATCAATGAAATATTCAACTATAGTAATCAATGAAATATTCAGCTATAGTAATCAATGAAATATTCAACTATTGTAATCAATGAAATATTCAACAATAGTAATCAATGAAATATTCAACTATTGTAATCAATGAAATATTCAACTATTGTAATCAAGGAAATATTCAACTATAGTAATCAATGAAATATTCAACTATAGCAACCAAGGAAATATTCAACTATAGTAATCAATGAAATATTCAACTATAGTAATCAATGAAATATTCAACTATAGTAATCAATGAAATATTCAACTATAGTAATCAATGAAATATTCAACTATAGCAACCAAGGAAATATTCAACAATAGTAACCAAGGAAATATTCAACTATAGTAATCAATGAAATATTCAGCTATTGTAATCAATGAAATATTCAGCTTAAGTAATCAATGAAATATTCAGCTATAGTAATCAATGAAATATTCAACTATAGTAATCAATGAAATATTCAACAATAGTAACCAAGGAAATATTCAACTATAGTAATCAATGAAATATTCAACTATAGTAATCAATGAAATATTCAACTATAGTAATCAATGAAATATTCAGCTATTGTAATCAATGAAATATTCAGCTATAGTAATCAATGAAATATTCAACTATTGTAATCAATGAAATATTCAGCTATTGTAATCAATGAAATATTCAACTACAGTAATCAATGAAATATTCAGCTATAGTAATCAATGAAATATTCAACTACAGTAATCAATGAAATATTCAGCTATAGTAATCAATGAAATATTCAGCTATAGTAATCAATGTTTTATTTCAACCGAAATAATCAGTGAAATATTCAACCGAAATAATCAGTGAAATATTCAAACGGATTAATCAGTGAAATATTCAAACGAAATAATCAGTGAAATATTCAAACGAAATAATCAGTGAAATTGATCAAGAAAATATTCAAGTAAATAATGAAGGAAATAATCAACTGAAATAAGCAAGTAAATATTCAACTATAATTATCAAAGAAATAATGGAGGAAATATTCAACAGACAAACTAGGAAATAAAAAACTGAAATAATCAAGGAAATAAACAAATTAAATATTAACTGAAGTATTCAAGCAAATATTCAACTGAAAGATAAGAACTGTATGTAACTATGCATGTAACAGAGGTTTCGAATTTTTTTGTAAATTTTTACAGTTGATCTAGATTGGGGAAGGGGGGTTCGATCCAATAAAATAATGAATACAACAAGGAAATTATTAAGAAAATATAGACTTGAATGATTATAAGAACAATTTAAAAGAAATACATCATCGTTTAGGAGTTTTCTCACTTTCGTTATAAAAAAAGCTTACCTTGATGAAGTACCGAAAGCAGTTGCCATGGCTTGAGAAATACCATAAATGAATTTATACGGATTTTGCCGACTACCTAGGAAGAACAGTCCTGGCAGGACGACAGACCCGTGAACAAATAATCCACTAAGTACGGTTATAAAGTACAATCCAACTTTTCCGACCAACACACTAAAATCTTCCATTTCCACGATTTTAGCTGCGATAAGAAATGCGATACCAACTGGTGAATACCTGTAATAGAACAATAAATGTATTAGGAATTTTTTCTAGTTTTAAACCTCAGGGTGATGTTTGGTGCAATAACTTTCAAGTATATTTATTGAAGCTAATCTCATGTTTGGGATGCTCATAAAAAAGCTTGTTTGAGGAATAACTATCCAGACTTTAAGCGTGATTCGAAAGGTTTCGTGTAGGTTGCACTATTAATTAGTGTTTCGAAATGCAGTCGTCTAAATATGTGGTCCGATCACTTTTCGTAACATAAATATCCAAATTGCACCGACTAAAGAAAATTTATAGCTTATTGTTCTCTAAGCTGCTCCTGAATTTATTAATATATGTAGATGATAAAAGGGTGAAATATAACACCAAGGCGTCTTTCAGAAGCACGGACCGAGGCATCACAATTTTACTTAGAAATATTTAGAAGTTGGCTTTTTGTAAGTTGTAACCCTATAAACTTTCTCTCGTGCAGATGTTACGGACAGAAACTTCCATTAGTGGGTTAGTGTGCACAAATTCAAATTATTTAATTACATCTACATTCACAGAAGAGTACTAGGTCGTAAAGCTTTGTTCCATTCCCATTCTATGATGACTTACAACTTCAATTATAAATAGACTTTCAGCATCGACTAATATTTGAGATAAAGAAATGATAAAATAATCTAGCACGTCTCTTTAACTAGCCATTATTGATCCAACTCTAATTTAATTAAAATTCCTTAACTCATGCAATATGTATTATTCCTCTTTAGATCAGTCTGTTGTCTGATGTTTAAAGGCATTTATTCCTAAAATAACGCTTCGATATCAGATTGGCTAGCAAATTCTTGAATCAATGACTCTTAGACTTCGCCAATCCAGGAATCGATCTATGTAGTTTGGCTTGCTCTTTTTGGGGTAGATTGGGCTGAAGAATGTGAGGGAAGAAATGTGATGCCCATTGAAATATTTGACAGAAAAGATATTTAGAGATGCTGAGAATAGATTCATGCTGAAACACTCATAATTATAATTACACTATAGCTTGTTACTGTGTGAGCTCGTCTTTATTTTGGTAATACATGTATTGGTAAATGATATGGGATGAAAGGCCACACCTGGGTCAATATTTGCAAGCACTTTAGCATCAGAATTTGAAAACATATTGCAGTTGGCTATTTGAAATTTGTAAGCGGATGTATTGACTATAATCTGATGTTCAATTGGCAAACAAAATCAATTCTGAACTCAATACATAACGTATGCACTTTATAGGTAAAGAAGGCCGCTAATGAGATTGAAATTCGCCCTAGAGAAAAATATATGGCGTATTGGCACGCTAACCGGACGTGTATTAGCGGTTTTGTCTGTCTTCAATGAACGGCCAATATCCACTGATATTTTTAGCATCAACTTTTAGAACTATTCATTAAAAACAATTGATTAAAGAAGAATATTGGAGATTAATATTTGATAAGCTTCAGTATATAGAGCTCTTAGATATTTCATTAAGATCTCTTAACATCTTCTGTGCAAGCAGATATATCAAGGTATAATGATCAAACACGAGTCTTATTTCAATTCTTATTCTTTTAAGATCAGTCTGGCACGATTAGAAATAGGTCAGTTCAATAACCCCCTTCCATTACAAAAAATATATCAAGCCTTTCTGCTATTTTGAAAGTTGTCGGCTGGTGTATAGATACAAAACAACTATGCCATGTTTAGTGGAGATTTCCGCACCCCCTAAGGCACCGGGTTTAATTTTTGTTTTTATTTATAAGTTTGATCCGCCAAACTCAAATATATACAGAAAGAATACCAATTTATAGTCGTCGTGAAGTTAACTTAATATTGATAATTAAATCAAAGATAGCTTGCGAGTCAAGATAACATACGCCCACTGGCAGCTGTCAGAAATAATAAAACAGTCTTTAGTGACTAAAGTGCGAATTTTCTCATATTGAAGAAATTTTATTAGTTTGAATTCAATTACATATATATGTCAGTTATTTATGCTGAGTAATTCCACAAAACTTTTTAAAATCAATATCAATAACCCAAATACAACAAACAATTAAATCACACAGCTCTAATCAAGGGAAAAAACAACTTTTGACGCGTGTTTACAAAGTCAAGGGCAATAACTCAAAAACCGTTCATCGAAAATGCGTCAAGTTAGAACTTGTCCGAGATCTTATCAATTCCGATGATCACACCAAGTTTCATCAGAATCGGTTGAAAACTGTAGCTTCAATCCTGCTCACGAACTATTTTTAACAAATTTTGACGCGTTTTAACAAAGTCAAGGGCAATAACTCAAAAATAGTTCATCGAAAATGCGTCAAGTTAGAATTTGTCCGAGATCTTATCAATTCCAATGATCATACCAAGTTTCATCGGAATCGGTTGAAAACTGTAGCTTCAATCCTGCTCACAAACTATTTTTAACAAATTTCTACGCGTTTTAACAAAGTCAAGGGCAATAACTCAAAAACTGTTCATCGAAAATGCGTCATGTTAGAACTTGTCCGAGATCTTATCAATTCCAATGATCACATCAAGTTTCATCAGAATCGGTTGAAAACTAGCTTCAATCCTGCTCACGAACTATTTTTAACAAATTTTGACGCGTTTTAACAAAGTCAAGGGCAATAACTCAAAAACCGTTCATCGAAAATGCGTCAAGTTAGAATTTGTCCGAGATCTTGTCAATTCCAATGATCACACCAAGTTTCATCAGAATCGGTTGAGAACTATAGCTTCAATCCTGCTCACGGACAATTTTTAACAAATTTCAAGACGTTCTAAGTCAAGGGCAATATCTCAAAAAGCGTTCATCGAAAATATGTCAAATTCGAACTTGACCGAGATCTTATCAATCTAAAGCATCACACCAAGTTTTATCAAAATCAGATAAAAACTGTAGTCTCTATAGTGCTCACAAGAAATGTTGACGGACGGACCGACCAGCCGACGGACAGGGGCGACGACAATATACGACCACGTATTCATGTGGGCGAATAAAAATGAAAAGCATCCCAGGAGGGGTGGAAAATCCTCAAAAAACAGGGCCTACTATTTCTGATCATTCTCTGTCCGATAACTGTCAAAATATCTATCAGAGGCTGGAATGTAGGCAGATGTTTCGGACTAGAGTTACCAAAGCTGTCTTACATACTATATTTGGTATTTATATGGTTGACCGGGATAGATTTTTGGGCAACCTGATTCTATTGAAGGCGCCAATATTATCACTTGGACAGCCCGCCATTTTTTGACCAATTATATCTTAGAAACAGGAATTTTTTTTAGTAATAGTGTTTACATTTCACCGTCGAAATTTTAGCGTTCAACTCGTCATGTTAATATACTCTCTGATATATAGAAAGCCATATATAGAAATAGTAAGTAAAATTCCAAGTTTGAAGTATTTTTAAAGAAACTAAGCGATTTTAGTACATTTCGAGTACTTCTGAAGGCTATTTACATATAATCAAGACTAAAATCAACCCTCCCTCCCCCCCCCCCCCCCC